TAGGGCGGAGGCCATCACCAGTAGGTTGGAGACCATCGCCAGTAGGGTTTTAAGGCAGGTTCGAGGCCATTGGGTTGGAGGACACAGTTCATCGGACTCAATTCATCGCTCCGTCGGCACCTGTGGAAGGAAGTCTGACTTTTCCCCGGAGCACAGCCGTGCCAGAGCCAAGAGCGCCTCGAACAAAAGAGAAACACAACGCATTTGTTCAATATTTGTTCAAATTTGGAATAGAACTTCTAAAAGCTATAGAAATAGAGGAAGAATCCCAGCAACAAGCGACCAATGAGTGCGCTGTATCAGTCATTGTTGCATTTTTGCGTCTGAAAAAGCATTTATCGGCTCCCGGTGCCCCAAGCATCAATGGTCAGAGAAAAAAGTCAATCCGCCTCTGGGAGGTCCTGGCGCGCAGCCTCCACAAGGTGGAAGACAGCCGACTCCACCTGAACCGAAGCTAGTAGTAACAAGTGCCACGCTACTAGGAACAAGTGCCACGCTAGTAGTAACAAGTGCCTTACTAGTAGTAAGAAGAAGCACTGCTTGGTCTTCCAACATCAAAGCCTGTTTCCAACATTTGCTGATCCACGTAGTTATACGACAGGCCCTTGAAGCCTTAGAGCAATCGTTACCTCAACTAGACCCTTCTGTCTTCCACTGCAAACGACCCCTACTAGCAATGACCTCGATGGCTTAATAACGATGGCCTCCAACCCACTAGCAATGCCTTCAACCCAGTAGCCATGGCCTCCAACCTATTAGCAATAATGGCCTTCAACCTAATAGCGATTGCTTCTAACCTACTAGCGATGGCCTGATAGGGATAACCTCATGTATTTTACAATACATGTGGGGGGGGTCTTGCTCGCCATTCTAAAGAAATAAGATGTACTCTGTATTATGCGAGGACTGACCCTCAAGAACCCCAAAAGAACTGAACCATGAAATCCAAGGTGCCTCTTCACAAAAACTGCATCGCAAACGTGAATTTCCTATAAAATGCCGAGGGTTGACCCCTAAAAATTGCACAAAACGGACATGTGTTCGCGGAAGCGAGCCCGCAAGAGAGAGAGAGAGAGAGAGAGAGAGAGACGCGCGCAAATTCCGCTTGGCCTTTTGCGCAGCTAAGACTGCATAAAATTCAATCATTCCAAAACCGCTTCAACACGCATCAGAGTTCATCGCGACATGTAGTGGGCTACTATGGGTTAACTACTCAACAGGAAAGTAAAGAGAACACAGGCGTGTGAAACGTTTGCTCACATGCATTAAATCCATTAGTAGAGAATACGGGGCAGGCATAGGCAAGCCTGAAACCAAAGGCACTTCCCAAGATCCACCTTTTTAAGGACAAGTAAGTGAAAAAGTTACTAAAGGAGAGGATGTGGTCGAAACATCCGACGATAAAGTCTCTCTGATTTGAGAACACCGGGACCCACGCAGCCACGCTACTGATTACTGGAAGCACCAACAAAAAATAAATGTCCTAAATGTTGACTTTATACTTACGGACTTTTTGATGTCCTCAAATGGCGGCCTATGTACGTGAACTTGTGGGACACTCTTGTCGGACACTCTTGTGGACACTCTTGTGGGAGACTTTTGTGGGACACTCTTGCGGGGAACCCTTAAGAGCGATGGTTTCAACCTAATAATCAGCCCAAATTGACGGTGACTGGTGAGTGAACAAAGTAGGCACCTACGGCATGGCCTCAGCACAGCTCTACTGGCGCATGGCAGCGCTCCTTCTCCGGATCCTGTACTACCTTTTTCCCATGGTGGACTGGGCCTTTGTCTTTGTGGACGATGTCTGTTGGCTTCTTCGCTCTACCTTGGCCCCATTACATACGTGTGCCGCGTGTGCCCTATCAATACCTGGTTGGGGGTTGTCATACAACCAGCTGGCCCGATTGTCCAGATGGCCAACCTAATAGCGGCGTCTTGCAATGCAAGCGACCTGTTTGTTGACCTCTTTCCCGCACCTCCTTCGGCCCGGGAGGTCCTCGTGGCTCATCCGGACGCAAGGTGATGCGGCCCTCGTTGTACATGGCAGCAATTTCCATGTGGCACTCAGCCTGACTCGGACTCGGCTACCTTGTTCCTAGTAGCGTCCTTGCTCCTAGTAGTAAGGCCAGGAGCCCCTAGTAGCTTCTTGTTACTACTAGTAAGGCACTTGTTACTAGAAGCGATGCACTTGCTCCTAGTAGCGTCCTTGCTCCTAGTAGTAAGGCCAGGAGCCTCTAGGTAGCATAAATTGAGACAGATTGAAGCACAGCATGGAGAGCCGACAAGGTCAACAAGGCCTCAACCAAGTCCTCGGGCAAAGGATCACTGTTGTGATGCCGCACTGCCCCGCGCCAGTTGCACCAATCTGACAGATCCACGTTTGGAATCCTCGGCTTCATCTTTTTGAACTTTGGTCAACGTTGCCGTTGAAGCCGTTCGATTTAGGTAAGTTCATCCTGGGACAATCAGTGATCCCTACTCAAGGCTTTACGTGGGGGTTCAGGTTCAAAAGTGCTCCAACGGTAATCTTCAGGGAGAAATCCGTGGTCGCTCTACATTGCTCCAAATGTCTCTGTCAGCTCCACCGAAAAGCCAGGAGCATCGCTCTCACACGGAGGTACCATGGCATTTTTCTTGGTCGTTGCAATCAGCTGAGAGACTGTCCTGAACTGTGGCTCTCTCTTCAAAGCACTGTTTGGTGTTTCTTGCATTTCTGGAGTCGTTTTCGCATTGGATGCCGAGGCTTTGTAGAAAGTTTGATGAACCACAAGCCATCATAAACCACCATAGGATTCAAGGGGGCGACCGTTTCCCAATGGAACGCTATCTGCTAGGCTGCTAGGCCATTTCCGAAGTTACTCCTCTTATGACATGACAAGTAGGGTGACAACATTTTTTGGGCCACTGGCTACGCACCCCCAGCCACAAAGATGCTCTCTCTCTCTCTCTCAGCCTAATAATTCTAGACTCTGCCAGAAGCAGTCGGTCAGTCCTTGAAGAGCTTGGAGCAAGATGCCTTTCCTGCGCCAACTAGGTTTTTTTGTGCGCAGTAACTAGTAGGTTGGAGGCCATTGCTATCAGGTTGGAGCCATCGCTATCAAGTTGGAGGCCATTGCTTTTGGGTTGGAGGCCATCTCTAATAGGTTGGAGGCCATTGCTCTTTGGTTGGAGGCCATCGCTAGCAGGTTGGGGGCCATCGCTGGTAGGTTGGATTGGAGGCCATCGCTATTAGGTTAGAGGCCATCGCTATTAGGTTGGAGGCCATCGCTTGTAGGTTGGAGGCCATCGCTTGTAGGTTGGAGGGCAACGCTATTTTGTTCGAGGCCATCGCTATTAGGTTGGAGGCAATCGCTATTAGGCTGGAGGGCATCGCTATTAGGTTCGAGGCCATCGCTACTACGGTGAAGGCCATCGCTATTGGGTTGGAGGCCATCGCTAGTAGGGTGGAGGCCATTGCTTTTGGGTTGGAGGCCATCGCCGTCGCTAGTAGGTAGGTAGCAAAGCAGCTTTTAAAGTGGTTCGTGGCGGAATTGGTGCAAGAGGCCTCGTGGCGGGAGAGGGCAAAGATCGGCAGATTCAACAGCTGGTCCTGGGCAAAGGTGTCATAGTGTCCACGTCTGCCATTGAGGTCTTTTCACCACCAAAAGCACATTGCTTCAAAGTGACTGAAAAGCTTTCCCAGAAGTGACTAATATTCGAAGCTTGCTGTAGAAAGCAGCATAACCACAAACTGCTGAAATCCCTCTCAGATGCAATCGACTGGGTGTAAGACAAAGCCGCTCGGATTTGTGTTTCGGGTGTCGCGGAGTCCCCGTCCACATCGATGTTTTGAAACTAGAAGCGATGCACTTGTTCCTAGTAGCTTCTTGTTACTACTAGTAAGGCACTTGTTACTAGAAGCGATGCACTTGTTCCTAGTAGCTTCTTGTTACTACTAGTAAGGCACTTGTTACTAGAAGCGATGCACTTGTTCCTAGTAGCTTTTT